ATTTAGATCTTACTAATCACTATCTCTTATTTTGAAACGTACATGTTCGGAAAGTAGTCTATTTTTCCCCAATAGAGGATTTTTTCTCAGCCAATTTCGCACTTAAGCATCACAGTCATGATATATTTTGAAGGTTGTTATAGCAACGATCGCAGGTGAAAAGTTCTTCGCAGTTGATCCTACTCAGTAGTTTTTAATTGGTATCCTTTCAAATAAGGAAAGGATAAAGCAGAAGTCTCGATATGTTTTACTTTTTTACAATCTAAAATGGAAAATACTGTTCAAGGAAAAAATACATTCTACTGTGTATGAAGATGCATTGGCATTACGCTAGTGCCAAAACTGATTCGCAAAATTTCAATTCAGCATAACTTCGATTAAGATGGACCACGCTAGTTAAGCAGTTGAGGACACAATAAAAACATTAACTAATGCAAACAGGTTAATAGCAATTCGTTAGATTGCTGAGACATTAAAATTATCAAATTGGACCGTTCATGATCATTTGAACAGCCTAAAGGCTTAATCTCAAAGCTCGGCATGTGGGTTCTTAATTTTCTTACGGGAATAAATTTGTGTCATCCTGTTTACAATATATGATTTAATAAACTATTAGACATCAAAATTATTAAATTCATGCTGAGACATTTAAATTATCAAATTTGACCGTTCATAGCTATTTGAACAGCCTAAATACTTGATATCAAAGCTCGGTATGTAGTGTTCTTACTGCAATGAATTTGCGTCGTCGTGTTGACAATATATTATTTATTCACCATAAAAAAATTAATTGCTTTCCATTGCATTTCCAATACTCTTCGAACAATTCAATATAAATAATCGTATGAAACTGATGAGGTGCAATTTCGAACCAACTTCGAATCATTATAGACTAAGTATTAGGAAAAAATTCCATGGAGGCAGCTCAAGCTATTTTTTAAAGCGATAAAGATTGTTTAAAAACAAAAAAGACAGAATTTTACCATTCGTTGTGATTATAATGAATTTATAAATTAAGAAGTTTCTTTTGTTATAAATAAAATCAAAATACTTTTTTTTTCAAGTCGAAATCTTTTATTTGAAACTGTATGACAACTTTTTGCACACCACTATATACCACTGAGAAAGACCGAAATTGGTGATTGTCGACTTTCACCGTTGAATTAATTTCTTCATCGATATTAAAATATTTATTTGAAATTTTAATATCTGATTAAGATAGAGTCGGAAAAAAATAGTGTTGGAAAATCTGATCTGGTGTGGAAATATGAAACAGTATTCTCTACCCTCATGTTTTAAGGTTAAAAATCTTTGATCGGCATAACAAACCACTCAATAAGTTTCCGGTTTGACATATAAATGGCACCCTTGAGAACAGAACTATTTGATTTCTCCATAGCAGCATTTTACGGATAGTAGCAACTATAATTGTCAAACTTCCATGACATTTCGATAATTAGTTTAGAGCTTGGCCAAAGGATACTCTGTTCGCCAAGGTTTAGAGGTTACAAGTAGTTTTAGTGACACTAGTTTAGTAGCTTGTAAAACAATGGATAAAAACAAATTTCTTGTTTTCATTAAGCATTGTTTTGTAAAGGGAAAAATTACTGTTGAAGCAAACCAGTGACTTGATAAGTGTTATAAGTGTCTGCACCCAGAGCCTGACAAAGGCAGGGGCATACGGGCAGTTGCCCCGAGCCGCTACGTTAGAGGGGCCCCCCAAATCGAATAGAAAGCTTTTTTTTATGTTTCTTTCTTTAGTAAACTTATTTTAAACAAAATATCAGTACAGTGTAAAATCCGTTGGTTTTATGTTTGCTTCTTCATTAATCTTCGTAAAAACACAATCTATATTTCGTAAATCCATGGCTATCTAGGGACGGAATTCAGCTAAATTTTCGCAATTAAGATGGACAAGATTGGAAAGTCAAAATCCTGTATTTTTTACATATCACAAAATGCGATATGTTTTCAAAAATACAGGCTATTGATTGGCTTAATTAGGCCATCCTAATTGTGAAAATTTAGCTGAATTCCGTCCCAATGTCAGCAAGGATATGAATTCTCCTCATCTGAATGGCCAAGTTAACAATCAGAAGACTGCAATTGGCATGATGGACATATAATTGTCAGAAAATCAATAAAATGCACAGAAAGATATTTTGTTTGATCATTGGGGGGAGGGGGCACTTTATAGCTATTTTAGGTTCTAGTCAATTTTATTTTTATTAATAATGAGGGGGAAAATTTAAATACCTCCATCAAGTTCGGTTCTTTATTACTGAAGTAATGAAGCAGAGGGCGCTCCCATTGAAGTTTTTGCCCCGGGCCCCAATTAGGCTAAGTCAGGCCCTGTCTGCACCAGGGAAATCAGCAATTAGTGACTGGTATGCTGAATATAAACGCGGTTGTTAAGGCATTGATGATGCTGAGCACTCTGGTAGTCCAAAATCAACCATTTTTCCTGAAAATATCAGAATATTTTATAAAATAGTTTTGAAAAACCGTAGCGTGAAATTGCGTGACATAGCTGACACCTTAAGAATATCAAAAGGTAGTGTACTGAATCGTACTATATATAAGAATCCAAAGATGGTGTCGAAGTTTTCCATTATTGTCAATACATTCGTTGTTATTGCCGTCCATTTGGTAAGCAAAATTTTTAAATTACAGTTGTGAAATCATCCAATTTGTTATAACAATATACTTTTAATTTTGAATGTTATTTCGAAAAAAAATATATTACTTAGTAAAATGAATACTTGTAAATTTTAATAGGGTAATATTTCGACGTGGGAAGTGGGGGGTACAAGTGTTCTTTTTAGTACATATATTTTTAATTGAATAATTTCTACTGTTTTATGCCAAGTAACAGAAATTACAGCGAAGCAATCATTTAGGTTGGCGAGTGTCAGCAAACAGGTGGCTTATCCCCCTAATATTTTACATACAAATTTAAGCATGCACAAGTTGCATTCAAAATAAGAACATCGCTTACTCACACGGAACCAAAAACTACCAACATGTCGATGATACAGAACGCTGTTTGGAACTTTTAAAGTGAGATAAAAAGGATTTATTTTGTAGATATGTGGCAATGGGTGAAGCATGGATCCATTTCCACATTCCTGAATCAAATGGATCTTCAGCTCAGCGGACAGAAGCCGGTGAAAGTCGTACAAAGTGACCAAAAACTCGAAAGTGAGCTGACAAGGCTTTAGCCTACGTATTTTGGGACACGCGTGATATTTTTTTTCACCGACTATCTTGAAAAAGATAAAATTACCAATAACGAATGTGACATGGTATTATTGAATCGAATGAGCCGGAGAATCAGGGGGGAAAAAACCTCACATGTGAAGAAAAAAATTCCGTTTCCAAAAGACAATGTCCCTTACCACAAGCCAGTAAAAACAATTGTTAAATTAAATGAATTGCGTTTTGAATTATTTCCCTACCCTTTATACTCTCCAGATCTGTCCCCTAGAGACTACTGGCTCTTTTCAGATCTCAAAAATATGCTCTAGGGAAAGAAATTCGGCTCAAAAGAAGAAGTATTTTTGAAACTGTGGTCTATTTTGAGAGCAAAGATAAAACGGATTCAAATGGTAGGACGCCCTACAAAAAAGGCATCTAAAAGTTAGAAGAATGTTGTAAATAAATATATATTTCTTGAAAGGTAGCATATTAACGAATAATGTCGAATTTCTCAAAAATAAATGTCTTAGCTAAACTGGAGACATTTTGAGTGATGCATTACACTTGCCCTTGCTTTCTCTATACGGAAGTTTTTTCTTCTAAATAAAGTGCCCTTGCCTGGTATAAACTCCCCCATATTCCCTGCACTGATGATGCTTTTGTCTTAAGGATAAGTGCCACTACGCAATATTCCGAATCTATCCTAATATGTTATTACAATATCGAATATGTATTAAGATATCAATAAATAATTCAGTATCAAATTGGACACGGTGTTTCGGACAATCACCAAAGCGATTATGTGATTGTTGGCATTCACTGGGGAAGGTAATCGTTCTGCAGATCTCTGACTCACACGTTAACATATATATTTATAAAGATATCCATTTTCTTTATTTCACATATTACTAGAGGGTGTTTTATTCTCTACATCTTCAACTGCATGTCTGTTCTTTCCCACTTTATTTTTATTTATTCTTTCTCTTCCTTTTTTTTTATACTTCCGACCTCACTTTTTCCTTTCTTCTTTTTAACCTTCTCTTTCCTAACTTTTTTGTTCTTATCTTCTTCCTCTTTTTTTTCGCTTCGAGCTTAATTACAATGCTTCCAGACGCATGCTTTATACTCATTTAAATAAAAATAACACGTATTTAAATTTTAATAATAATCCAACTTTTGAAATAAAATACAGATGCGTGGATCCACCACAAGTACTAACCAAAGCATTCTTTCTATTACAAATATTATTATTGCTTACTTTAAAAATGAATTATAAGTAATTTATAAGCAATCTAAAACAAAATTATTTTATTTTACTGATTATTATGTCTAATATACCTTTACATAATTCACATGTTTTTACTAGTTTTCGTAAATAGGAAATTAACCAATACAATTACATCATTTTATTACTATTGATACATTTTTACTTTTTTTTATTTAAAATGTCGCATTTCTATCATGCTATTCAACTTTTAGCGATAATTTAACATTAAAACGTGTAGCACTACTGTAAGTAAAAATTTGCTGAACACATTAATATATTAAATTTTAAATACTTGTTATTTGTACTTGCACTTGTTATTTGGACATAATTCTTACGAAAACGATTGTATGAAAAGAGCATAAATGTTGTTTAAGAATCTTCATCTTCCCTTATAGAGAGAATTCAAGATGAGGGAATTTCTTAGAAAGTTGTGTGGCCAACTCGAATGCAACCTCTTCTAAAAAGGTCCGGAACTTTTCCATTCTTCTTTAGTGATCGATAGAGTTGCTCAATTGAACACCAGATGGCATGCTATGAAGAACTTGTTGGTAAAGAGCATAAAACCAGAAGCTGAAAGCTTTTCTGAGTCACCATCTGAAGTTTTGGAGTCTTGTGCACATGGAATGTGGTTTTAAGGAGTCGCTATGCATGGAGTCTTTGCTCTAACGCGGCTCTGGATAATCCTCGGAAAAGGTAATGATGTTCGAGAAATCCTCTTTTTAATCTCCGGGAAAGAAAAATGCATGCTTTAATATTTTGTTTGTTGGAAAACCGGGTGAAAAATGCAGAAAAAATAGATGGAGAAATTAATAGACATAGATGTTTCTTATTTAATTTAAGATGAATGGGTGCTTATGCAAATGAAATAATTTGTATAATATATTTTTAACTAACATTATATAATTTTTTTATATAAAATTGTGTTGTTTTTTAATTTTATGAATAGGATTTTACTCCCATAATAAAAAAATCCTTAAATTAATATTTGAAATAAGCATACTATATATTTTTTTTAAATTATTGTTGGTTGTTAAATTGCATGCAAACTGGCTAAATTTAACTTATTCAAAATTTTGTTTTTTATAAATGAAAAAGCTTTTTGATAAAAACAGAAATATAAAAGAGATCAAAAATACTTTCAATGATAAAAAAATCTTTTTTGAATATTTGATTTATTTAATCCCCATTTTTAAGAATGTATCATATGCGTTTTACTTTTTAAACCTGACTTAAACGAAACAAATGAAAAAAACTAGCTTCATCAGAAGGATATAGCATACACAAAATATACTTTATCAATGACGTCATTCTGACGCTACTCATCACGGTGTACTTCTCATCTGTGAATTAGCTGGTTTTAGAAATTTAATTCATTAAGGTTTAATTTAATTATTTAGTCTCTACTACTATTTGTCATGTTTTTCACTAAACACTTACTCTTACAAAACTTATTTGTAATAAAATAAAGTTGCATCTGAAAGATATCATAAACATAAAATTTCTTTGTTAATTTTTTCAGACATCAAGCGGCACATTTTCAGATACATTTCTTTTTATTGAATGAACTGGTTTTTTAAAAGTACTAGTTTTAATGTTGGTTAAATTTATATCATTCTCTAACCTATATTCTTTAATTTAGAAAGAATGTGAAAAAAAATCTTCTTTTTTTAATATAGGTATTTTTTTTCAGCCTAAGGGCAATAAGTTTTGCTACTGTTTATTTCTTTTTTATGAAAAGGTATTAAGTCATTCATTAATGATTAAAAAATACTGTTTATATTTGCCGCAAAAGGATTTCCACAGATTTATTTATTTAACTTAATTAAAAATAAATAAAAAGGAATGAATTTGGAGACTGAAGCAAAGATTCTCTCCTTTATTTAGAACATTTTATTTTTTTTACCTTCTGATACATTTTTTCTTTTCCTATGAAGTATTTTCCTTTTACTTTTGTTTCTCTGAAGATAAACAATTGAAACCACGATTATTTATTTCAGAATCGTTTATAGGTTTTTCTATATTTGCTCATTGGCTCTTACATGTCTGTAACTTTGAAAAATTAAATTGTCAATTTTCTTTCATAATCTTTTAATAATACAATATAAAAAGTAATTTTTTATAAAAGGTAACAATTTCATGAGATCTGGTTTTGTTACCATGACTTCGATTGAAATAATTCTCCAGATTTGAGATCTGTTTTAATGAATTTAAGCTGATACATAACTTAAAAAACAAATTAAAAATAAGTATTTAGTTTTCTATTATTAAATTTTTCTACAATTTTACTCAAGATTGACTAATTTTTCATCGATTTATTTTCGTTTTTGAAACTCACTTAAGTATTGTAGTAAAACAGACATGAAAAAGATTGTGTTATATTTAAAGTATGTATATAGAACTGTCTCTCAATATTAAAACACAAGAAAGCTCATTTTTTTAAAAAATTTCTCGAATAGCTTTACAATTATTTGCTATACAACTTACAAAAAGCAACTGTTGAATACATTTTTATCAAAAATGCATACAATATGCATTATTTACTTACAAACTATCTTCTAAAAAGATTCAAAGAAAACGAAAACAAAGTTCCTTACAAATATTTTTTAAATCGCAGATTTTTTTTAACTTTGATCTACTACTGTTGCCATGGTTGCCTTAGAAGCTTGGCTTAGAACAATATGACATGGTAGTAAAGTTTTTCAATTCTAGTAAGAATTTATTTATTTATTTTAAAAAATATCTTTTTAATGTTTACGTGGTCTTGTGAGTCCGAGTTTTCATAAGTATATGTACATTTTTTGTACGAATTTATTTACAGAAGTGGTCACAAGCGTATTAAATGATTGAGGTATGTCTCTTTTTCTACACATGTATTAAATTTTTCAAGCTAAATTGGGATCCTGGTCCTGGTTTTCATTTTCAACAAAATGAACCATGCGAAAAACTTCTTTTCTTTTAAATAAAAATAGATGGCAAAATTAAAAATAATATTAAATATATTTTACAATAAAAGAATACAAATGCAAAATCAGCTTATACTTAACCTTTAAACATTTTTACTTGAATGTAATCACTTTATTTTTCACATCTTTTCCGTTACATTAAAACAATAAAGATAATTTAATGAAATATAGTTTTCAATAAAATGTGGAATTTTAAATGTTTCTTTATTCTTTTTTCAAGCATTTTTTTCCTCAGTTTATTTAAATCTCATTCTTTAAGACTTCTCACTATATTAGTGTAAAACATTGGTCTTATAATCAGTTTTTAATTTTTTTAAATTTAAAACAATTAGTCTATTTTTTGCATTTTGAAAGCATTAGAAATATTTAATATTAATAATAATTGGCATAATTTATGAGACAATTGTGATCTATAGCGTATTTTTTTAAGAACCTTTTTGCAAACTACAGATGTATTTTGACCATTTTGTTACAATTATATTGGTATTTCTGGTATATCTTCTCTTGTTGAAATTGTTGTGAAAAAATGAAAACAGTATAATATTTTGTTATAACAATTTCCTTTCATACCTTAAATATTTTTATTGAACTCAGCAAAATATATTTTGTATAATTTTTATTCTTAATTTGTAATTTCTTTCAACTTGCATACTTTTATATTAATTATGTTAAAGTAGCCATTTTAAGAAATATATAAGGAATGTTATACTAATCTGAATAAAATAGAATGTTTTGATTAGTAAATAAACAAATTTAAACCTAATAATTATAACATTTTAATTCTAAGAAAGACATTAAAATTTTTTATAGTTTAAAAATGTAACTGTTTCGTGTTCACTTTTCTAGGAATGATAATATGCAAAGATAATATGCAATAATATGCTGATAATTATACAGAGATATCAATATTTATGTAGATATATTTAATTATCTTTATTCGATCTACATTAAAATAAGAAGTTTTAAGCAAAATTAAAGCAGTTGATATGAAAAGAAGGCATGTAACATTTTTACGAAAATAAGTTTTTATTTCATTTTGGAATATGAATCCCCGATTATCAAATACCGAGATATTTTCTAAACTGCCTAAAGAAGAGAATCCAACTATTTAGAAGCAATTAAAACAATCTTTCCGCAATTGGCACAAAATTTTTGATTTTTGATTTTTCTCGAAAGTTTAGAATTGTAACATACCCCCTTTTATCATTAACCGCCTCAATTCTTATATCATAATCCATCTTATTCATTTGCATTTTCATTCTAAACTGAGAGGAAAAGCATGGTTAAAACTACCAGAATATGGTAAAATTTGCCGTGTTTTTGGTCTCTGTGGGAAAAACGGAAAACTTGGTGAGTTTACCGAATCGCTTTGGTAAAGAATTTGGCTGTAATGTTACTAGAATTTTTGTTCGCCGTGTAGTTTAATAATTTTTCCTTAATGCTGAGGAGTTGAGTTCTTCGCATTTGATACAAGCATATAATACCGGTTTAAATACCGCTAAGTTGACATAACTTTAATAACCGAGATATGACTTTGATATTCTGCTGAACAATTTAAATACGCTATTTACATTGCAAAAAAATATATATAATAATACGGAAAATAGTACTAGAATTCTGAGTGTCAGTACTTTTTACCGTAAATTTGGTTAAAGCTGACTTCTTCGTACGTTTGATCAAGTCTCAAACTACTTTTTCTCAAATATTTAGTAACATTTATTGACTTGATTTCAATTATTTGATTTCCTTAACTACTTCACTTAAGTTTTTTTTTATCGTAAATTTCATAAAATTGTCTTTCTTTGTATTTTTTTTTATAAATTCTCAAAATATTTTTTTAACGATAAATTTGGTAAAACTGATTTTTCTCTGATTGATTTAAGTACTTTTAGCCATAATTTTAATAAAGCTATATTTTGGTGTATTATTGATCTATTAAAAAATTCCTCTCCTGGAATTTATGTAAGTGATTCATTGTTTCCTTTTATTCAGAATAATATTTTTTTTACTCAACATTCTTAATGTGTTTAAATAAGGCAAATATCGGTCCCTAAATATTATGTATTATGCAACATTTACTATCAGAGTCAAATCAAATCGGTAATAAATCAAGCTATGCTATTCTTTTTAGAGAGAGAAAATTTTGATCTCAAAAAAATTTTCTTTTAGAAAAACTGAATAATTTATCACTTTCTCTAGCACCTCAAAATTATTCAGCGCATTTTTTTAGCATTTCCTTTTATGGAAATTCAAATAAAACGACTTTTATATTCCCTTTTAGTTTTATCTTCCATACTTAGAAAAATAAAATATAGAACTTAAAATGACTATATATGCGAAAAAGAAGAAAAAAATTAAAGTGATGTTAGATGTAAACAACTAAAGCTAAATCCTTAGCAAAGTTTTAAAATATTTTATTTATTAAAATAATAAAATTCAATACATACAGCTGTTTTATTCCTTGCTCTACGCTGAAATAAACATTTTTCTTTTTGAAATAATATATTTGAAATCGAAAAGTAGTAGCTAGAGAAGGCGAAACAATGCTATTTCTGCTACTGCAGAAATTTGAAAAGATCTGTTTTGGATACGGAATTTAGGAAAAAATAATAATAAGGGCAATAAAATGTTTTCAAAACTCTTACATAAGTATGTGAGCTCATTTTCTTCAAGTCTTAGATTTGCAAGTAGTATTTTTTTTAAAATAAAAGTACCGTACTGTATAGTAAT